CTCTGATTATTAACTAACGAGAGTACGACTAGCCATACATGCAACTTTTGGTTACCTATTTAAGTAGTCTGCTCTAGATTCCACAGATTATATAATATTTTAATTATAATATATATAGTTATATATATAATATTTTGAAAAAAAAACTCTTTCTAATGATCACTTGGACCAACTTTTTAAAACAAAAATTCTTAACAAAAACAGTAAAACTATGCTAGAAAAGAAGAATATAAAACTAAAGAGAACTATAAACCAGCATCTATTATTTAGAGATAGTTCTCATATGCTATTTGCTAATAGATTTAGAGCTTATCACTTATCATGAGGACGGCACTTGTTATTTAGAAGTAGTTCTTATATGCTATTTGCTAACAAGTTCAGAGTTTATCACTTACTGAAAAGAATATTAGCGTGCACTCAGATCTACTTATTTTATTATTCTTAGTGAAAAATATACACTCTTTTAAGAAAAATACAAGATCTATACTCTTTACTATCACCCACTTGTGCTTACAACAAAATTTTCGAAAAAAACAGCTTACCCCTATCAAAAAATTGGCATTGTTTACTTCTTCCAAATTTGGTTGACCTGGTAGATTGCAACCATGTGTTTTGTTTAGTAACAAACACATTACTACTTTACGTGACAAAGTTTGTCAACTAGTTTATGGTTAAAAGTATACCCAGAATTGGTCATATAGTCAGAAAGAAACTAATACATTAAGACAAAGTCTTATAGCAGGGATATACAGATGTTGCATTTGTTATATAATTTTTAAAGCCTTGTACAAGTTATAATAGTACTATTAGGTCTTTTTTTTTTTTTTGTTTTTTCTTTTTCAAAATTTGTGCTTTATTTTTTCTTTTAGTTTGTTCAATTTTTTTTTTGGTCATTTTTGTTAAAAATTTTTTTTTTTATTTCCTCTTTTTGTCTCGTGCCTCTTAAGAAGAAGGAAAAATTAGAAGGGAAATTAGTTCTAATATTTTAGTTCTTTAAAAGCTAATATTGGATACAAAAAGATGAAAACCTCTTTTGAACAAAGTTTATAAAAAGAACTTTTTTTTAGCTTATCCGTAAGCTTTTGTGATAAGTTGCACTTATGTACTAAAATAGGCAACTGAGTGAAGTCGGGTTTTAGATTAGTCTTAAAAGTAAACGTATATAAATTATATATACTAATAACTAAAGAGGTCAAGCCATGGCAAGACTTATCAAAGAAATAATATATATATATATATATATATATTATTTTAATTATAATATAGTATATATATACTGTAAATTATATATATAACATGTAATAATAAATCAGAATTTCAAAATATACAAACACATCCAAATTTGCTTGTATTAGTTTATAATTTAATAATAGTATACTATATGAGTGACGCCAAGAGAAAATAAAACATTGGTTTATCATTTATTATTATTAAATAAATAATCAATTATAATAAACCAATGTCACATTTTCCCTTGGCGCCACTCATATAATATCTAAAATTATAATTTGTAAAACTAGTACATATTAAATTTCTTACAATAAATATAGCATATAATCGCATTATTAATAAAAAAAAGCAAATTTTATTTAATTTTTTAAAAATTAAAACTTTAAAAAATATTAAATAAATAAATAAATACTTTAAATCTACATTTATATATATATACAGTATATACAGTATATAAATAATAATTAAAATTAAATTTATAGCAAATAATTACAAATCACATAATATTTGTTATACATGCAAATTGTGACAAACAGAAAATTTCAACGTTATATAAAATTGCATCAAAAACAAAAATTTGGTATCACATTGTATAAAAATAGAGTTCTTTACCATGGTTCTAAATTAGACCGATACTACTAAAAAGTTTATTATAGTAAATTGATAATAACAAATTGTATTTGAATTGTATATACGGTAAAAAAGACGTATATAATAGGAAGAATAATTATAATATTAAAGAGACAATCAATGTACCGTACCAAGAAGAATAGAAGGAAAAGAGATTTTTTTCATCGGACAATTCAAGGAAATTTTTAAAAACGATGCAAGGAAAAAAAAATAATAGGATTTTTAGCACAACAATTCAAAAGAAATAAACCAATAAAAATTCCTCGCAATGTATTACTAATCCAGATGAAACCTAGTTTTGACTACGATATTCATATAATAGTGATTGGTTTTATAAAAAAAAAAAATTGAAAAATTTTATTTTTGTATTAAATAATTTCTTTGGTGCGTTTTAGTTACAAAAGTACCATTTTTGATTTATTACGAATGTTACCATCGAGCATTTTAGTTGAGTGGAATTTGTTTTTTAAAAAAATTTGGGGATTGGTGAAAAAAATGATTTTTTTTTTTTTAATTTAAAAATATATATATATATAGTAGATCAACAATTTGATTAAATTATTGGGTAATTCGATATTAATTCATGCATAAATTCACTTCTGTTAGTTTTACATAAAAAGATATGACAGTATCGGTATAAAATTCTTGGCCTATTTGAATCATTCAAGTGAATGTGTGAGATGATGATTAACTTATTGCAGGATGATAAAATTATAGCCGATCACAAGTATCACGGTGTGATATAGGCGATTTGCGTAATTTAGAAAAATCAGAAATTTTTTTGAAAGGATTTTTTTTTTTTTATGAAGAAAACTGGCAGGAGGTACAAACAAATTTACGTCATATATAGTTTAAATATATGAATAAATGTATGTAGGGTTACAACATATTTTAATTTAGAATTTTATATACTGTATATATATTGATATATTGTGTATGTATATACAGTATACAGTATATATATATTTATTTATTTTTTATATTTATATAAGAATTACATAGGAGAAATCCATTTTCATTCACTATATACTATATATATATATATTTAAATATCATTGCCATTTAAATTGAAGAATCACCAAAAACAAGTCTATGTAGTAACATAAATACAATATTTAAGATTATATATAGATTTTACAAAAAAAAGTATTGACGTGACAGAATGTGAGAATGCGAGAGAATGTTATGGTAGTACATTTACAACGCAAAAAAAAAAAATTTTTTTCATGTTAAATTTCGATGGGAAGGAATTTTTTTTAAGGAATTATCTTTAAAGCTACTTAAATTATTGGAGGAATTATTTTTAAAGTTACCTAGATTATTAACCTTAGTTGAATTATTTGAATTGCTTCTTAATAATAATTGATAATTTTGATTTAAATTTTTATAAGTTGAAGAAGAAGAAGAATAATTTATATAATTTGATGATTTAAGTGAAACTGGAGATGGTGGTAATTCAATTTTTTGAGCATAAAATCGATAAAATTTACAATACGTATTATATTCTTCTATTTCTTTTACATACATTTCAAGCATAGCATCGTATTCTGATGGAGTAGAAGACATGAATTCTAGATTTGATTTTTTTAACATTTTGAATACTTTTAACCCATTTTCTAAGTTCTAAAAAAAAAATATTATAAATAATGAATAAAAATAAATAAAATAAAAATAAATAAAATAAAAGAGATAATAACTAATAATATTACAATATAAATAAAAAAACTTTAATTATAAATGTACCTGTAAACCGTCCCACATATTCAAGTAGCCAATTTTTGTTTCCACATTAAAATTTGTCAAGTATGGATTTGTTTGAAAAATTCTAGTAATGATAGTTTCGATCAATGGGCTAATTCCTTTAGCATGCATAGAAGCGAGAACTAAAAAAAAAAAAAATGTAAATATCAATAACATCAATATTAATTTAAAAGATTACGAGAAATATACTCACAAGCTTCATGTAATTTAGTAGTGACAGGGCCTTTGTTATGTAAAGTTAAATCACCTTCCATTACTTCTATGAATGCGTAGGGTTTTGAAACTCTGACCAATTCTTTGATTACAATATCCTCCCACTGTTTTGTCGATAAATATCTAACCAAGTTACTCATATATACAAAGTCGAACGTATTATCATCGAATGGAAGTCCCTTAAGCAGGTCAGCTTGTACAAATTCAACATTGTAAGGGAGAGGTGAATTAGAAAATGTTGGAGACACATCTAGACCTATAAATTTTGTATGAGGGTATTTGTTCGCCTATTTAGTAAAAAAAAAAGAACGAGTAATCAGAGAAATACAGTATTACAGTATTACAGGTATTAAAGAAAAAATAAAAGTATAGAATACAATGTAACTTACCATGTCGATGATCCAAGCACCAGTTCCACAACTATTGACAAGGATCAAATGAAATGAATTAGCATAAAGGAATAAATGATAAGAAGAAAGTAACACACACATATACATGATAGGCTTAGGAAAAAACGAAATGCCAACCCAACATCAAGAACTTTAACGGCACCGCTAACCAATTTTTGTTGCATTGGAGAAAAGAATTTAGATTGCCATAAATTTGACATATAATCATGTAACGATTGAAGTCTTTTCTCTTCCGAAATATCAGTATCAAAAGAACTTTTTGAAGTTTCGTTAATACTTTGTATAGATCGACTCATATTAAAGAATCGAGGAGTAATAGTTCCAGAAGGTAAATTTGAATCATCGTCATCTCTATATAAGTTAGATGCCTTTTTATTTGAATGACAATTACCCATATTTTCTATTATCTATTTATGATACGGGATGATAAAAAAATAAAAAATAAAAAAGTAATATAGGGTAATAAAAAAGTAATGATGAAGAGAAGAGTAATAAAAAATAATAAAAGATAACGATTATGATGAAACAAAGTTTTTATTATCTATATGCGCAAATATGAAATGTATAAAAAAATGAAAAGTATAAAAAAAAAAAAAAAAAATCCTTGATCCAAATAAAAATTGGAGGTTTTTTTTTTTTAAAAAAAAAAAATTGATTGAAAATGCGATTTTAAATATAAAAATCACACTAAATTTTGAGTTTGAAATCTTAGATTATATACATATACAGTAAATACAGTATAGATAAAGTAAGATAATAATATATATATAAGTTTTAATGTAACACCCTCGCGTAAACGTGAAATTATACTTGAATATGTGAATATTTGATAAGTACTTTGCATGATATGATTTAAGAGTTATTGGTTACGTGAATAGAATTTAAGATGTTCATCAACATGTTGCATCAAATATAAATCGTTTCTATGTACAGTTAAGCGCGTATATTTTTGACTATATAAAAACAATAACGAATGGTTAAATTTAAAAGATTAACATATTTAATTTCCAGAATGACCAGAGAGCGACTAGCAAAAGAATGGGTAACTTATGACCACATTGTCATGAAACTGGCTTGAAACTGTCGTGAAATTTATGCTACGTAACTTATGAAAAATTGCAATTAAATTGTTTAAGTAAATTTTAGTCACAAGAAACTTTTGAGTTAATGAATAGAGAAAGATTTCCTTTAAAATTTTCTCCTGATATTCAAATAATAGAATGATTCATTTCTCAATGGTATGAAAAGTTGAACCCCCATCATCTCATATATCATATCTCACATGAGGGTTAGGTGATCTGAAAATCACCATTATTGCGTTTACAGTTACGTACGTAAAATCATAATAGAATACAGACGTGATATTATTATATGGTATATATTACCAGGTATACCATATATGATACATATATAAAGTATACAGGTATACAGGTATACAGGTAGGTATACAGTATGTGGGCTTGCTTCATCAAAAAAGTATAGAAAAATACTACAATATTCTTTAATATATACGTATCAACATTTTTGCCAAACACACATGTATATACGTAGTATATATATACCTTGTATAGTATCTTGTATATATAAGTATAGTATATATTTTCATTGTATGGTATATATAAACTAATTTAAAGTCTCACAAAAGTATAAAAAAATTATAAATCATGGGAATACAGTATACGATTCAACACTTTAAAGTTTATGTTAACGTTAACGGATAGTTGTTTAAAAATTATACTAACCCGATCATAAATTACAATTAATGAAATTTCCGAATTACAGGGCTGTGCACGGATACCTAATTTCGGATACCTAAATTCGGAAAAAATACACTTTACAAGAAAACATGAAACTTTCTACGCACATACGTATGTTTGCTTTTATTATGTTTACAGATTACTATGTAGTACAGTAGTAGGAAGATTATTATACACGTATTAAAAATAGGGATTTTAAACTTTAAACAAAGTTAAGTAACACGTTCGTTTTGAACATGACTAGATTATGAAATTCGCATGAAATCATTTGCTAAGCAAAAATGTGTTACTCGATCAGCATGTCATATTATGTCAGAGGTATTTTTTGGAACTTTATCCTTTAATAAATTTTTAATGTATTTAATGAATAGAAAATGTCACATGAATAAAGTAAATATTTACGTAATCTAATACACTTCAACTTCGATTCAATGAATACACCTTCGATTCAATGAATATATCTTCGATTCAATCGATTCAATCAGTGAATTCACCTTCGATTTAATGCTGTATTCCATCTTCTATTCCGTGTAATGAAATAAATGATTCAAAATATGAACGATGGTCGTTAAAAGTGTATTCACTTCTATTTACGTTTAGTTTCACTTAGGTTTTTCCCATTTAAGTTTTCTCATTTATTGGTAGGTTTTTCTCACTTACACTTACACTTACACTTACACTTACACTTAAATTTACACTTACACTTAAATTTACACTTACACTTACATTTACACTTACACTTATGTTTATTCCCATTTACCGTTACATTTAGTAATTATCAAAGTTATTTTTTGTTATTTTTTGTTATTTTTCAGGGTCTGAACACATAATATTAATCAATCGGTCCGTGCTAAATATCTTGAATTATCATGTTTCAGGGATTTTCATTGTTGAGACAATGAAAAATCCTTGATTAAAAAACGTTTAGGTCTAGACACTCTAGTCCGTGCACAGATTTTCTAAATTTCTTAATTGTATACTTTTTTTTGAAATAACGATAATTAATTTTTTTTTTTTTAAGCTCTATATAAATTATATCACATGCTCTCAAATTTAAACAAAATTTAAAGCTCTTACACATTATATATACTATATATCGATCAATATATATCAACTATTAATGTGTTTGTTTTTTTTAATTAATTTAATTAATTTTAAACAAAGTAATAGATTTCGACGAGTAATTTTTTACCAATAATATTGCAAATTTGAAACTTATATATTTTATATATTTGTAAGCACTATATAAATGTATTAAGAAGTGTATTGTGCATTATATGCGTTATTCATACGCATTTATGAAATCTTTTCATGTTTAATCTGAGATCATTTATTTATACTAATTATTTAATTCTTTTGATTCATTTGTTCTATTTAATGTAAATCATGAAACACTATAACTAATGTAATGAATAATAGTTTATCATGAAACATTTAATTTTTTAATTCTTACACGAGATTAGAACACGAGTTTATTTTTGTTTCTTCTAGATTTCGCGATTTTTTGTCATCCATTAACTTGAACTCTTAATATTTCTCAATGTTTAAAACCTTAAATCATGATTTTCAAACTGTGATTTTCGTACTTTTTAATAATCATTAATTTTAAGTCTTTTGTTGTTTGTTGTTGTTGTTGTTGTGTGTCCATCAGGTTTTACCGTACTTCAAATTCGGTTCGTACATCGTGTATACGATGCTGAAACCTTATATTCCTGCATCTTTTATGACTTGTTATGTTGTCGACCTTAATTTGTCATACCTCTATATTCTTTGGCGGTTTTTTTTTTTTTTTTTTTTTGATTCAATACATTTATGCAACAATAACGTCATTAATATATTATATACAATATACATGAATATGGCATAAGCTTACAACCGCCTATAACGATAATAGTTTTTAAATATTCATTTCGTTTCTTATCGTTCATCACTAATTTATCTTGAAACCGTGATCTTTTTTTTTTTCCTCCAACAAGTTTTCTTCTTTTTTTGATTAGTTTGAACTCTAAATGCTAATTGGTTATTTCCATTCATTACCGTTAAAATATGGATCTAAATTTGTATACCATTAATCGACCATAGGTGTTGTTGGTACGTACAGTAATCAATAACTATGTGTTAGCAATCAATCATTGAGTATTATCCTATCATAAATATTATTATTTTTATTATGATCATTATCGTTATTGTCCTTATTACAGAGAAACCTCCCTAAGTGTACCCCCTTGGGAAGATTTCGAAAATGTACACTCAGAGGGTTCCGACAATTAATTCACCGATAATTCATTTAGCCGACATCACGCCAAGTGACAATTTACTAAAATATATACCCGCAACTAATCAAATACTAAACTTAGTCCTGTGATATTGACTAAACGAAATGATTGTTGGCGACACCGCAATTGGAAGGCAAAATATATAATCTATTTATTATAAACTGGGACTAGACTATATCGTAAAGAAATTTTACATAAAAGATGCATTTATGGTGAAAATTTCTCTGTATCTTACGAATTTAATTTTATTATCCTTCAAGGCAATGCTAATTTCAACTTAATATATATATATCTCATTTTATGCATAAAAAAAAAAATTAATCTTAAATTTTTTGTAAATAAATTGTGATCAAAAATGTTAATATATGCATACTTCACTGAATTGGAAATTATCATGATTCTCAAAAGTTCGTTTCTAATCTGGCATTGCATAAATTTTGGGTTTATTCTATATTACAACTGTATAAACGCATGTCATAAAAATAAATTTAAGCATATGTATAAAATATTTTGAATTAATTCTTTTTTCCTTTTGCTTTCTATTTTTTGAAATTTCTTAATATTTATATCATTTTAAATTAATCCTTTTTATAAATATTTCTTTCCCTATCATTATCGTTATCCCTTTTTTAAATTTATTTTTGATTATCGTAAAACCAATGTGATGATCATGTCTAACGTGAATAAATAAAGAAAAAAAAGAAAAATAAAGATAGCTTTAATTAAAAAATAATATATACTGTAATATGATTAAATTTTATTATATAATAATATTTTTTTTATTTTACTTTTACCATCTTTAGCATTAAAGCAAGGTAGCTAAAAATATAACGATGATTTAATTAAAAAAAAATAGAATCAAATCCGTAAATAGTTACAATGATATTTTTTTATTTTAATACGTAGTCTAAACCAGGCTTACAATGCTACGTACACCCCGATAACTCTAATTTAGATAAAAATTTTTATACGTACGTACGTCTATTGTGTGCACGCTGTAGAAATTAGTTGCGACTGTGCCAAAAGTATTTAGGCACCGATTTTTCAGTAAAATTAAAGCCGCAAGCTATAATTTATTCCACAAAGTTCTATTTAGCGATTTTGTCATAAATTTCAGTACCGTTAGTTCTTATCAGGGACATGTGGATTTTGTGATATAATTTAACAAATTATGTTTTTGATATCAGCAAATTATTTGATTTACTGCTGATTAACAATAAAAGTCCAAATTTGTATAAAATTTAAAAAAAATTGTTCTAATAAAAAACTTGAGATTTTGAAAAAAAATTGTTGCACTAAAAAAAAAAATTTGGTTTTTATGCACAATATATAGCCTATGATATTTTATTTCTTTGAACTATT